CACTCAAGGGCAAACTGCAGATCACCTTCAAGCCAATGCAAAAGGGCACGCAGGACCACCATCAAATCACCATTGCATTGACTACCAAGACGTCCTTGCGCTATTCCAGCCATCGTGGTACAGTCAAAGGCAAATTCAATGGGCACAGTGTTGTAGCCATATGCAAATCGTAGGTGAGAACACCATCGCGCTGCCAGCAACAAGGCCGTAGCCTCAGCCCTAGGGGCTGAGCATTCACCAAGGCATTCAGCTGTGGCATATCCTCCCCAACAAAGCCCATGATGGGTTGTGACAATCAGAACAACCGCCGCTGTGGCCATGGGATGCTGTCGAAGAGCTGACCCATCAGTGTAGAAGGAGAACCGGACAGGGGTTTCATCAGTCCAAGTGCTCATCGAAGCCAAGGCTTCTCTGGTCACACTACGCCAGGGGACATCATCAATGCGGTATTGAGGTTGAATGGGAGGCCATTGCTTCAATTGTTCTCGCAAGAACAGAGCCTTCTGACAATCCACATTCACCCAGATGGCATCTGGTGGGTCTTCAATTGTAGCAGCAAGGGAAACTTGAGTTCGTTTGGACGCTGTCTGAAGCAAGTTGACGACATCAAGGGGCGGAGAGTCCGGCTCTTGTTCAGGATCCAAACGGCCAGAGTGATCAAATAGATCCGCAGGTTCATCACTGACGAATTGCGCCCAAGGAACATCATGTTGAACAGAGAAAAAGATGGCCGCTCCATGCGAGATCAACTCATCCCATGTTGCCGTAATTTCTTGATCTTGCCACCAAGCTCTGCAAGTCGTCAATGGAGTGGCGCAGACATCATTCAAGTCAACTAATGCAACAAGGTCGCGCAGCAAATGATGGCGATCCAGAGTGAAGCACATCAATCGCGGATGCCATGGATCCTCTGCAGTGTCAGAAATCGACACAAGAGTAGAAACCATTTGTGGATTGGCTCGTTGCAATAAAATCACATGCGCAAAAACATCAGGGTCACCACCTTCTGGACGTGGATGCACTATGTGACAAGACAGACCATGAAATGGATCAATGTGGTCTTCCCAAGCCATCACAATTGCAGTGAACCATGTGTGGATGTCAGTTTCAAGTCGGACAACACGGCCAACACCACTATGCGGTCGTCGTTCATGGTCGCAAAACCAGGTATCGACACAAATGGGCGGCCCTGGATGGTTGTCTTGCTGCGCAAGCTGCTGTGTGTACAAGTGAAGAAGATCCTGAGTCAACTGCGGCAGAGCAGGCACCTGCCGCGTTGCAGCTGCAGCTCTGGCAGCTTGCTGTCTTGCTTCAGCAAGTCGCTCAAGTGGTTCATCTTCAATCTTGTCAATGGGCTCCTCAATGTTGGGGCAAGCACTGATTAGGGCTGCCACTTCCGATGCCAAAGTTGATGAAGCTGGTCGCAAAAGTGGCTGGAAATGGCCCACATCGAATTGCAGGAAAGAGGCATCATCTACTTCTTGTGCACCACCTCCATCTTGCATGTGATCATACATGTCGATGTCAGTCATGCCAATCTCGTGCCGTGGATCATGATGAACTGGCGGCGAGCGGCTCCGATGTCGTGGTCGTCGTGCATTACTCACACACGTACGAGTGGAGATGTGCGATGATGCCGTTGGCCAAGGAGGAACTGCAATTCGTAGATAATCCGCATGTTCCAGAAACAAGTTACCTTGTCTTTGTTGCGGTACCAGCTGATTGTTGAGCCACATGAGGCATTTTCGTTTGCTTTTGTCACAATATAAGTCCAAGCCCATCATGCGGAAAAGCGTACGACGCTGCGTCTGATGTGGAAGGGAAAGACATCGTCTGGATACCGACACATCGGTAGAGGGCTGATGCTCATGAAATTCAATGTCAACTAACACAAGCCTATGAACTGATCCAATGGCCAAGTCAGCTACAGTTTGCATGAGAAGGACTTCAGTGTGAGCTGCAACCAAATCTTGTGGACGGTGTTCAACATGGTGACAGAATGCAATATCATCTTCCTCAACGCCAGTGATTCGGGAAGCACGTGCTTGAAAGGCAAAAGCATCATCCCAAGGAAGGTGCCCATGATAAACACGCCGTTTGGTGCGATAGATGTGAGCAAATCGCCAGTCACTGCCTGGGTCATTCTCATTGTCATCAGAGCCATCGTCTGATCCATGCGTGGCATCGTCATCTTCCAAGGGATCACCTTGTCGAACAGCATGAGGAAGTTCAAACACAGGCTGATCTGGAGGATAGTTGGGTCGATGCACGGCTGCAAAGGATGTCACATCAGATTCAAGCAGCGGAACACGAACATCCACAATGATGCTGAGCCCATCAGCAATTTCTTCAAGTGCATGTTCATCAAACCATAGAATACCAGACCTTGCAACCCATCTGCGGTCAGCAACCATATGGGAAATGTCCAACAGATCAACCGCTCGAGTGCCACTCATCATGGTCGGAGCTGAGATTGCCTGTTGGATCATCTGAGTGCGGTGGTCTTCGATGAATCGTGCTGTAAACACAGCACCTCTTCTCTCGGGATGCCGTCCTTGAGAAACGATGATGTGCGGTGCAAATGGCTGGTCATCTTCTCCCGGCGGTTGTGGGTACACATACGTGATGTGGAAGACTTCGCCAGCATGAAGTTTATCAGCCCAAACCAATCGAATATCCGACAACCACAGATGGTCCATGCGGTCAAGAAGGACTGTACGAGGATGTCGGCACCGTCGATCATCAACATGGTGAAGATACCAACTCTGAACACTAAGAACTCGTCCTTCAGCAGGGTCATCCACAGAGGCATGATCGCGCCAAGTTGCACGCATCTCAATCAACCAAGAAGGATTCATGTCGTAGATTGCTGCATCTGTCGGTTGCTGAACTTCATCACCATGAGGATTGGTAGTCGCTACGCCATCATTCTGTGCGTGAGGTGTACTAGCGACATTGGAACAAGAGAGTAGTCCCATGGAAACATCAAGCTTCATGTGGTCCATCGGGATCGACACGGCCAAAGTTGACAGCGGTTCCACGATGGCATGGGAATCCACATGCAAGGTCCATGGCTTTTCTGTCCAGGTCAAAAGTTGGTCATGTGTAACAACCATAGGAGACAAACTGCCATCCTCGCTCCCATAGAGCAATTCAACCTGCGAAGTGAAAGTCGCTTGGCGGGATACCCGGTCATGCGGTCGAAGAGCAGAACGTAGATCAGCATAGAGGCGGTTGGACCCATCCAACTGCCGGGAACACGCATCAAATCCAAGGACATCGATGCACTGATCAACTGCTTGTTCAACAGCAGCCCAGGGCGTGAGGAACTTCTCATCCTCCAAAATGCTGTGGGTCCATTGTGCAGTGCAATACTTCACATTGGAGACGAAATGGGGTTGGCAGGCCTCTGAATAGTCTACTTGCCCCCCCGACCAAAAGGCTCCAAGCTGCGCGAACCAAATGCAGGCTTGCCACCATTGGAGTCTTCTCCATCTTCGAGTCGAGCTTTCTTCAGCACGGAGCCATCGATGACTTCTGCTTGCCGTGCTCGAATCTTGTCGAAGCCCTGCACCATGGCTCTCATGTCGTCCTGAATGCTTGGAGTGACGTCCGTCATGAGCTCCTCCTCGTTGGGATCGGCTGCCTCGTTTTGTCCAATATCGGACGCAGCGACAGCTTCCTTCGATTTTTCCATAGCTTCCTTCGCTGTTTGATACTTCTCCAAGGCTTCCTGAATGGCTCCCATATGCTCGGCATCTCGAGCTTCGAAGTCCTCCATATGCTTGTTCCATCTCTGAACTGCATCGGCAATGAACTTGGCCCAAGAATTGTGCAGATTTTGTCTTGCACGTCGAGCATGAAGCAACATATCGCGAGCATGACCAAGCTTTGCAGCAGCGCTTTGAAGCTGGATAGTTGGGTCGACCACGACCATCTTCTGTGCGTTGGCAAGAGCTCGTTGAACATCTGCTGAAAGAGGCTGCTCCATCTGGTTCACAGCCGTAGCAAGCTCTTTCAACTGCATCTCCGCTGCTGTAGGCACATAGGCAGGTGCTGTCGATGGCGTCATTTCCTTTTCCTGACCTGGATCCCACTTGGGCTCGGCAGGAGGTGTAACACGCGCAGCACCCTTCTTCTTGTCGCCTTTGGCTGATTGTGGTCGTGCCGGAGACTTCCTGGTGGAACGCCGTGGAGACTTGGTTGAGCTCGGTTGGCCAGCCCATGGACCCTGAGAATAGGCCCCATCCGAATTGTAGTCCCAAGTACCTGAGTACGACCAGTTCGCAGCCTTCTGCCTTCGAGGAGACTTGGTATGTGTCCTCCGGGGTGGGTGCGGTTGGCACTCTGTCCAATGAGCACCGCAAAACCCACAATTCGAATAGCTGCCTTTGATGTCCTTCTTGCACCACATACAGTGCCATGGTTGAGTTTTGTTCGCCATGGCGTGCTGGATCTTCGCCAAAAAGACTGGATCGCTGGAGTGGTGAGAGCGCAGAACTTGATGAATCTTTCGCAACTGCGCGACACTCAAAGACAATTGGGATGTTCGAAAGAGGAACCAACTCCTCCTGGCAGAAGCACGGAGTCGCCTCAAACGCCGGCGCAGCGTAGGGGTAGTCGTACTTGAACAAAGAGATCACAACCACAAACACAAGGAAAATGCCCATGCAAAAGCCCGATGGTGATGTGGTATTCAAAAATGTCCAAGATCCGCACCACGCAAGGAACCTTGAAGTGGTAGATCAGCTTGGGTTGCGAGACACCAGGGCGCACCAGTTAAGTGATCGCAACGCCAGCAGAAAGGCTCAGCCGCAATGGCTAGCCCGCAGGTAACGACCCGCTAAGGATTCGCACAGGGAAACCCGCCTACCCTGTAAAGCCGAAACCTTTATTTATTTATTAAACAATTAAACAAAGAATTGAATTATTTAAATTTATAAACAGAAAACAATAGAAATATATGTCAATATGAATCTTCAGTCCCAGCTGTGCCTGAGGCCCTTTCCAGGTGCCATGGGTCCTATGGGTTCCATGGGATCCATGGGTTCCATGGGCCCGGCCCCAGCCGAGGTGCCCAGAAGAAGCTGGATTATATATACATTAATGGTATGGTAACTAGATTAAACACACACACACACAGAGATATATATGATATGTTTATATATATATATAATATATATATATATAAACACTTGGAATCAGTTGGATATTTAACTACCAGTGGAATCAGTTAGATGAGATGTATATATAGTAATGACAACAGTTGGATTCCAACATTTGGCAAAACCAACATGGAGAGGCGACAGCACTAAGCCTGCCTTCAGGCCGGGTCTTCGACGGGCCGTGGCCAATTAGGGCCCGCCTTGTGCCTGGCCTCAACCGAGGTTTGCACTTTGGGGCAGTCTAACTTTATCGCCAGTCTCCAGTATTGGGACCTAGATGTTGTTGGAAAAATATGGAAAAATGGTGTTTCATGGTGTTGCCCCTTTCCTCTTGGAAACTGGGAAACTTGTTGCCAAATCTGAAGCTTCTTTGCTTCTGCAGAGTTGCAGATCAAAATCAAACTGCGGGTCTCCTGTGGCATCCTGTAGCGGCCTGTCGCGGTGGGCGTTATGGTGGTATTGGATGACCCTCTGAGGTGGGCCCTGCGCATGGTGGATGACTCCTTCCGTGACCAGATTGACTTGTTGCGACAGGCAGCGATGGGCACCTTGCAATCGTGGGTGCCAGCCACTTAAGACTAGGCTCTCGCATGTTGTTTGACTGGTTGAGGAGCCTATATATATATATATATATAGTTGGGAACAAAAATATGAGGCCCCATTGTGAGCCCCTTTTTTTTGGTTCAAACTCCCGTACTGTGGCTGAAATGGCTGGCCTGGATGTTCGTCCTCCCCAAGATATGGAGGTTTCCTAAATGGGGGTACCCCTTTTTCAGATGTTCCATTATAAATCATCCATTGATGAAAACCACCATTTATGGAACCCCCCATATTCCATAGTCATACATACCATATGACTAAAAGCCATGCCATACCTGACCTAACTAAAATCACACACACACACATATATATATATATATAACATGATATTGCAACAGGTGGGATATACAATGATTTAAATAACTATTAGGAAAAATGGGTTTTTGACCCATCCCCAGGCCGCGGCGCGGCACCGCAGCCTCCTCGAGAAAAGCCGTGTCGCCGCGTCCGCAGAGGCGCGCCAGGCACGCAGCCCTGCGGCGCCGAGCTGAGCATCGGATCCCAGGTGCCGTAGGGGCCGGTGGGGGAGGTTGAGAACTTGGGAGTTTGAAGAGAATATAATCCCATATATATGTATCCGTATAATTCTGTATATGTATATGTATGTGTAAAGTGTGGGTGTGTATATATCTACATATATATATATGTGTGTGTGTAGGTCTATCTTGGGGATAGTGAAGGTACACATCTTTGATTGGAGTGAAGTCTACTTTAGGGACCAGCCCCATCTAGCTGCCGGCTCCCATGGTTCCCACCTGAATTGAAGGAACAGTAACGCCTTGGTTGGGTTCATGTGCTGCTGCCATTTTTGGGATCAAACTGTTTCTATTGATCCTCAAGATATCTCAAGATCATCCACGCTTGAAATTGTCCGGTTCAACATGTAAGATTTCCCTGCGCTGCAGGTTTTCCGCTTGGACTTTATCCAAGCTGGTGACGAGCCAACGATGTCTGGGACTGCGAACTGCAAAAATGCAGCATGATGCCTGCAAGCTTGCTGGGGGATGCCAACGCAAACTTTGAACGCTTACTGATTGAAATTCAATACCTTAATACTCCACCTGGTGGTGGTGATATTGGCAAATACTGAGTGGTTTAATGATGTTTCTGCATGTTTCTTCTCAGTTGCGTGAACTCCTGCGTGCTGCTTATGTGTTGCCCATCCGAATGTGGCTCAAGCCGTCCGCAGCGCTGCAAAGCAGCACTGCCATAGGCGGGGCGGGATGATTCTTTGAACAAGCAGACCCAGCGAGTGAGCTATGCCAACCTAGTGAGCTATGAGCTGTGTTTCTAATGGGCTACCCTCTGGTAAACTAACATAGCTATGGAAAATCACCATTTTTAATGGGTAAATCCACTATAAATGGCCATTTTCAACAGCTATGTTAGTTTACCAGAGGCTACTTTGTAGCTACACATGGAGCAATACAGAGCTAGATATGGCTCGGTACCATCAATTTTGATGAGGAGTCACAACATTTTCCCAAGTAAAATGGCCATGGGTATACTCAATTTTCGAACATGCCCAAATATCATATTGTTCGTTCCTATATCTTATGATATTATATGGTTGGTGTATTCCCATGATATCCCAATTTTATCACCATAAAATCACAATAACATCACCATTAAATCAATTAAATCCTATAAACATCCCGTAACATCCCATAAAATGCAATTAAATCCCTCAAACTCCCATAAAATCACCATTTAATCCTATTAAATCCGATTAAATCACCGTTAAATCTCATTGAATCCCGGGAAAAAACTATTAAATCCAATTAAATCCTATGAACCTCCAAATTTCATAAAATTATGCAACATCTACAGGACACTTGAAGTGATGTCGCCCGAATCATGTCTGGAGGCCACCTGGTGCGATCTGCGATGTGCCGTCCTTGGGTTCATTTTCATCTGGTAAATGTCAAAGACAGGTAAATTTAGAGATAATAGAGGTAACACACACACACATATATATATATTATACATATATATATATATTACATATACATATATATATGTTACATACATATATATATATATTACATATATATATATTATACTATATATTGAATATATATATATATATATTACATATATATATATATTTTATATACTATATATTATATATATATATATAGAAAAGATATCATGACATATGATATACCCCTGAACAAATCAGAACTACCTGGTAACTACCTTTCAGAATATCTCATGAAATCATGTGGACCTTATCTTGAAACGAACTCACAACTCAGGAATAGCATCGCATCGACCCTCAGAGCTGAGGCGGCGGCCATATTGGATCCAGGATGTCACCAGGATGTCATGAATCTTATCATTATTTTATGATCTTTCAGTCTTCAGTGGAAATTTAGCTCATAGTTTCCAGTTGTTTTCACTGGTCTATTCGATTTTTTGGGGATTGCAGATGGAGATCTGTGGCAGGCGTGGCATGTCCGCAGAGGAAGCTTCATCTCCAACGGTCCTGGGTCCTGGAGCAGCAAACCCCTGTGGGTTGCAGGGGATTATGCTACTGAAAAAGATAGGGCATAGGGATTATCATGGATTATCATATTCCATGAATCATCGGAATTCCTCTGAACCAACTGTGAAGAATGGACATTTTTGGTTTTTGACCATTGCTCAGTCGGGGATTTCATCGAAAGACCGTGGGGATTTCATGGGAGCCACGGATACAAGGCGTCAGACAGGGCAGAGGACCCGAGCGGTGCGGACGCAGCTCTTGGAGAGTTAGGGTCAACAGTATCCTTAGGTATCCCTAGGATTCCCTAGGTATCCTTGTCTGGTATTAGTGCTGTGCACTGTTTTGGGAGATTTTTTTCAGAGTTTATCCCTTCCATGTCATTTGACAAGGATTTAAAAAACATGGGCGCTGTTTTCCTTGCTGCTCAATGCTTGGACTGGCCTTCACATGACACTTTTTTTTTCCCCTGAGAAGGTCCGCGTGAAGAGTCGACCATTACCAGGACAGCAGTCAAAAGAGTGGCTGGAGAAAGTTGAAGAACTTCAGCAAATTACAAGGCCTGGATTGCCAACTCCTATGAGTCATGTCCAGATGTGGTTTAGCTTTGGGAAGGTGCCCTTCTCTTTATGAATTTTGGACATCTGGGACATCCGGTGAGAAGCAAACAACAACATTTAATTTCATCACACACACACATATATATATATAATATTTTTTCTTTTTTTTGGTATGTATGTAGGTATATGTGTGCGTACAAATATGCATAATTAAGGATACATATGGCAGAGACCCTAAGCCGCCGTGGTTGAGGCAATGCACGGGCCGTGGTCTTTGCGGGACGCCTCAACAAGGCCAGCTATGAACGTGGCGCCAAAGTGGTGGGTTCCCTGAAGAGCTTCGTGGCTTGGCAGAACGGGATGGTTCAAGAGCTTACTGGAACACTATTAAATATAGTGTTTCATAGTGTTTAAATGTGTTTAATAGTTGTGTTTCATAGTGTAACATAATATCAACATCTTATGGTGTTTAATAATGTTGAGTATTGGCATTGGATTTTGGTCCATATTTATATGAACACATTTCATATATATATATACATACATATATATAGCGTTAAACAGGCTTGGAATTCACGACCATTTCATTCAAGTCATCAACAACTGCTACCGTAACCCCTGTTTCTTCGTTGAAGACGAATTTGGTAAGTCGTTGCCCAAACGCCAACGGTCAGGTATACGTCAAGGATGTCCTCTATCGCCTTACTTATTTGTTTTGGTCATGAGCGTGATTGATAATGATGTTAATTACCATCTAGACAGACGCACTTTAGGAACCAGAAAGCCAGGTATCAGCTTCGATCGAATTTACTATGCCGATGATACTGTACTCCTAGCCACCAATACATATTCTGCCAATAGAATTCTCTGGGCTGTTGCACGGGTTTCACTGCAGTTTGGCCTTAAATTGAACAGAGGCAAGTGTTCCTATATCGCTATGAATGGGAACAATAATCTCAGATTCGCAAATGGGACCAAACTTTGTAGACGCACTGAAACAACATACTTAGGACATCATATTACACAAAGTATGAACATAAGACAGGAAATCGGATACATAATGCAGCAGACTATGGCTGCTTGGACCAAATTAAAACCTTTTTTGGAAAGTATCCATCCAATTGCACTGTTGGTTGGAGATTACGCGTTTATCAGGCTGTCATTCAAAACAAACTGATTTATGGTCTTGAAACCGTGCACTTGACACAGGCAATGCTAAACAAGATTGACGCGTTTCAACTTCGGGTGCTTATATAGATCTATATTAAATCTAGAGCCCACATTTGTTAACAGAAGAAACACCAACGACTTTGTACTTAGAACGGCTTCCGAAAAAGCTGGGCACGAAGTGAAACTTTTCTCCGAACTTCTTTTGGACAAACGAGTTAAACTATCTGGACACCTTTTGAGAACAACAGACTCGGACCCAATGAGACAAGTAGTTTATTCTCCTCAATCAGCAAACGCGTATCCGATTGGTAAAAGGAGGGTAGGAGCGCCTAGGCAACAATGGCGCCACTTCACCCATAAACATATTTGGAACAAACTTACGAACGGCTCTCGCACGACAATTTTAAGCTGTCGCAGTGCCGGCCCACGGACGCCTTAGCGACCATGGCCGAATAATAATAATAATAACAATAATAATAATAATAGCAATAGTAATAATAATAATATATAATGTCGTGGTAAACCAATAAAAAAAGGCATCCGATTAACCAACCATAGAAGAAGGGTATTTTTGCATCCCATTGCTGGGGGTATACCTAATAATAGACTTGGATTGGGGACGGTAGACATTTTTGGGTTTACCGCGTATGGGCCAAATAACTTTATGGCCCACCCCCCTCAGTCTTGAACATTAAAAAGCCACATGTCTTTTGGATGTTGTGTTTTGAGAGAATTCTGGAGCGGATTTTCTGGCTTTGACTGTGATAATATACTTTGATTATCAGAAGTTAATGCCGTTAATGCACCTAAATCCTTCGCAGACTTTCCACACATTACCTAGCATTTGTAGTCAATATGCAGTCCATGGGCACGCCTCCTGAGGTCCCAGATGATATCTTGGGTAACTTCAAGGACTGGAAGCTTGGCAACAGGTGGGCCAAAAATAGTGCTTGGTTTCCTGTACTATTCAAGTGATTTAAGCAAATCACTCTATTTGTTTGTTGATGTTTGTTGATGCATTGGTTCACGTATTCATTTGTGGATTCACTTCTTGTTCCGTATTTTTGACATCATTTATTTATGGTTTATGTATCATCCGTTCATTTATTTATTTGTTGGTCACCATCCATATTTATTCACAGTTCATACGCGCACAGACACACACAGGCACGCACACACTTGCTCAGAACTGTCACTGCGAATTCCGTTGTCGAGTGCACCTTACGTGCAAAAACAATCCCTTTAAACCTGACAGGAGGAGGTCACTGAGGGGACCCGAAAAACAGTGGAAAGCTGCCATCGCCATAGCCAGTGCAAATTGGAGGAAATTGGAAGCTGATCCCTTTCAACAAAGCCATATCGCTCCCAACTTGACAGATTGCGAAAACCGTACAAGAAGTGCAAAAAGTAAAATCAAGTTGTTTGAAAACGGCATGGTGGGTCTTGGGTTAGCCACATCCCATCACAGAATTTTGACATGAAAATTGAAGCAGGCACGTCGATCCAGCGTCCCGGATTATCACATAATGTCATAGCTGTCTTCGTTGGCTGCAGAACTATGACATTCCCGGCAGCCCCCTGCTTGAACTAGTTACGAAATGAGGAACAAAACGAGTAGAAGTTTTACACACGCACGCACACACACACAGAGACTGCTGACAGAGAGAGAGATATATATATATGTAATGGATTCGATGTCTATTTTCGAAACACCTATGTAGGTTTCGCAATTTTGAAAGGCCTCACGACATGCACAACCAGTAGGTTTTCTATTGTTTTGCAACCAAGCTGAGACACCACTTGGACACACGATGGGAGGCGATAGCATTTCTTGAACTGAAGGAAAAAAACTAAAGAATCGTGGGGTAATTACGTGGCTGCGAATGCCGGCCAAGAACCAGAAACCCGAGAAGCTAGAAGCACACCACTTCCAGTACCCAGGTGGTGGCTGGGGTTTCCTAGCTGAGGATCGAATATCCTGACGATTACGACGACGATGAGATCTCTACAAAATGGTCGGAGTTGGGAGCCCGAAGGGCGTCAGCAGACTAAGGCACTTGCATGGTGGCAGCTAGCTGCAGAAACAGGGCTGAAATTGACTGAGTATCTCATTCTGTTCATTTTCGAGCACTTGTAGAAGTGCCTTGACAATGAAAAGCAACGAGGTGCAATACGACCCTTCCTATGGCTCCCCGTCTTCCTGGTTTCTTCCGCTTCCTTGATCTATTTTGGAGGGGTTCCATTGTCTATCGGGGGCTGTAGATGGGTGGACTGGTAGAGAAATATTATATTTGGACGGCAGGTAGGTGGCTAGATAGGTAGGTGGATAGGTCGCTAGATAGATTCATTGATTGATTGGTTGATTGATTGCTTGGTTGATCGATTGATTGACTGATGATTTGATTGATGAGACTGATTTGATTGATTTGACTGATTTGATTGATTTGATTGATTTGACTGATTTGATTGATTTGACTGATTTGATCGATTTGATTGATTTGATTTGATTTTGATTTTGATTTGATTTGATTTGATTGATTGATTTGATTTGATTTGATTTGATTTGATTTTGATTTTGATTTTGATTTGATTTGATTTGATTTGATTTGATTTGATTGATTGATTGATTGATTGGTTGGTTGGTTGGTTGGTTGATTGATTGATATATAGATAAATGAATTTTCAAGATGCCTGAGCGCTTCGACACTCGCTGCCGCTGAGTCTTACGTGCCTGTCACCTCCGATGACGCCATCACAGGTGGGGTGAAACGACGATCCAACAGGTCATACGGTGGGTGGTTGCGAAATCCTGCAGCACTTTGGATGGTTGAAACTTTATAAATAACTGGATAAACCACCTATCAACTGGTGCATGATTTCTTCTATCCACAGTATTTCCGCTGTTTGTATGGCACCTCATAACTACTAATCCCATCCCCTGACATGAAACACCCCCACTGTATGGTCCCAATGATGTGGAAATTCCCTACTAAAGCATGGTTTTAGGGGGTGTTTAGTATTAGGGGGAAGGGATGATTATGTAATTTAGGGGTGGAAGTTGCAAGGTTTTCCACTTTAGCTTGCTGGCTTCAGACCGCCACACGGAGCATGCTGCTTTTCCGAAGCAATCAGTACAGGTTCTTGTAGACTCCGATAATTTTTTACCCCAATGGAAAAAATATCAATGCAGGGCCCGGATGGTTTTGCGATCGCGCTTTCCAACTTTTGAAGCTTTGCAGTCGGCGAGCTACCTGGCGGGTCTGGTAGAGTCCCTGAGCCAAGATGGGATGGAAGCTGGGTGCCAGTGCTGCCAGATCTCTGAATGGTGGAATTACATGGAATTATGTGAATAATTATGTGTTCATTACGTGATTATTATGGATGGTATATTTATCATAGTCCAGATATATTCCATATATTCAACTGTATTCTGTTTGGAGAGGGTATGGTAGTATGGATGGTATAGCCTCAATGGATATGGAGGATCCTGCTGGATGATGCCGATCCAGATTGGTGAGATCGAGTTCTATCCCCATGTCTGTTGCTGATATCATAACAGTTGAACCTACGTATCATATGAGTATGTATATGTGTTTCTTTATTTAGTTAGCGATCTATCTATCTATCTATCTATCTATCTATCTATCTATCTATCTATCTATCTATCTATCTATCTATCTATATGCATATGTATATACGCATATTTGCATATATGATCATAACGTTAGTAAAGCAATAATAAACAATCCCCAAATTTATCAATTTATCATATTCATGAGTGGGTTTTCAACCATCAACCTATATGGCTGGTTTATGACATTGTTTTTTCAATCATGAAATATGCATACATACCCTCCGGTAATCTAACATAGCTATTGCAAACCACCATGTTTTACGGGTAAATCATCTATAGATGGGCCATTTTCAATGGCTATGTTGAATTACCATGAATTACCATGAATGGTATCTCCATGATGAGTTGTCTTCATCAGGAATATCCCATGAAACCACCATATTTGATGGTGAAACCATGATGAACCCCCCAATTTTTCTGGCAGCTTGCCTCCCCTCCCAACATCGCCAGGTCAGATCCTCCAACTTCGCCACCGATGAGTCCTAGAAGTCCAGGTAGATGGAAATTTTCTTCAGATGGGACCACTGAAATTGAGGAATTTGCTTGGGATGCTTGTGGCAAGCGGATATTTTTTTGGAACATGTTTGGACTGGCAAAAGGCGATTTTTCGGATATTTTTGGGATTGTTGTCAAACATTGAGATCGAAGCATGCGAGTTTCAAGCCCCCGGGTGTGCCCGAAAAATTTGATCCATATCTATTTGGCAACTACTCCGGCGGTCTTCAGCTTTACCATACCGGGACGTTGTCATCAGTATGGCCAAGGCACACACGAAGCATGGCAGTGGTAATCTATCCTGGCAATGCAAAATGCTGATGACCTACCACCTGTTGGAAATGGGCATATCTTGTTGTCAGGATATGAAAATTGCGGTATACGGTATATCATATACTGTATCTCTTTTCTATCCATTGAATACAGATCTATTTCCATGGAAATATCCATCTTTAGATATTTATTTGGGATTGAATATCACCATGGGATGGGGATTTTCCCAGCGTCCAGGTCTCAGCTTGCCGAAGCAGCGTCGCCGCCCGGATCGCGTGGGCGATCGGCTGATGCGGCAGCGGATGGAGTGCCCACGGCTGCGGGTGGCTTGGTGGATCTTAACAGGTCCCTAGATGGATAGATCATGACAGATCCAATATGAGGACCATAGGACCATAGGGGGTTAGGGGGTTGCATCTAATATGAGGAAGGGATTGATTTTTCCTTGTGGATCTTCACTGTTTGTTTAAAGAGTGGCTTGACCTCCTCGAAAGGTTGACGTTTAGTTGATGGTGGAAGTATCAAGACCCCTGCAACTGGCTTCGTATGTACTGACAGCAGTGGCGGGAGGGATGAAAAAAACCTGTTGCGGGAGGGTGAACAAGCCTCGAGGGGTTTGAAGGCGATTCATTGTTTAACTTTGTCAGCTGGATGGGGGTTTTCAGAGTTCAGAGAGCATTTGCAGCCCCACACTATGGAACTGTGAATCAGCAACATCTCAATTTTTCCAAAATGTTTTGGCGTTGCTTTGCAAAGGCCGCTATTTGGGAAATTGGTTTCCGCATGAGAAGCCTGAAGAAATGTGGCATTTTGATGCATTTTGACCGTCCAAAATGACGTTGCCAGGATATTTGCCGGTCCAATCCCCCAGTGGTTGCGGCTATGAAAGCCAAGTCTGAGATGGGACTCGAACACTCTGAGGACCAGCTGAAACCTTTGGTGCATCAGTTGCCACCCGATCCTCCAGAGTTGAGCAGGTGGCCAAGTGCAACCGTGATGAGTGAAGGGTTGGGCATAGTTTTTTCGATTTTTTCGCCTTGATTTTGGATTGAACTTGGGAGATACCTTCAAATTTGCCATTTTAGAGGCAGAATGATGGTGAATCAGCAGATTTGGGGATTCTCCTATTTTCAGACAAACCTATTTGCATGTGTCAACTATGTTGCTGGGTATGGCGTGGCAATCCCAAACGGCGATTGCGACTTTGGCTAAGCCTGGTAAAATCGAGGGTAATGTAGTAAACCATGGTTTCGACCGGCTCTTTCCGGATATTTCTAGTAAAGTTGAGGATGGTGTATTGGGTTTACCCAATTGGGACGACGGGGGTCCAAGCTGTTCCAAGCCAGGGCCGCGCGGAAGGCGCGGGCCGAACGGCTGGCGCAGGAGGCAGAGAAGGCCAGGCAGGAGGCCGGCCGGAACTATTTGGGACCAAGCGGGAGGGTGTTTGATATTAGGGAATGGGATGAATCTGGGAGTGGAATTGGCAGTTGGTCTTTGACTTTCTTGCTCAGCTGCAGGATGCCCAGGTCCTGTGTTTTTTCTGTGGCCTTGTTTTGCCTGTGATGCATGGCTCAGCCACCCAGTTTTTGGTTGCGTCTGCATTCGGTCTGTGTCACTCTAGGAATGTCATAGGATGACCGCTTTTTGTAACTGCTTTTTTTCCTTCTCAATGTTTCCTGACATTGTTGATGCCCAGGTCCTTTGCGGGTTTGGGTGAGGATAAGTGCTTTCATTGTCCAGAAAGAAATACAACAAGCTTGTAGAGAGATGCTGGCACGCAAGGGCTTCAAGCCCGGGAAACCTCCAACTCACACGGAGAGCGTTGCAAGGCGGAAGAAGAGGGCAGAGAAGCGCGACGTGGCTTTGCCAAAGCCCGATTCCGGGCAGCAGGTTCCTTGTCTTTTGGAAGTCACGGGAAGTCATTGGAAGTTGTGGGAAGTTGGGGTGGAAGGTCATGGGCCACACTCCCAACATGGGCCCTTCCGATCGCTATCAGGTTTTGCCATCTTGCGCCACTGAGATGCACAAATTCAGATGCGGCCAAGATCGGCCAAGTCATCACATGTCATTCGTTTCATCCTCTTTTTGTGCCATGACTTTGACATCTGATAATTGGCCACCTTGCAGATGTATGATGTCCACATGGCCACCTTGCTTTTTTTCATCGGCGCTGTCATGACAGCCCACTGACAATAAGATTTGAGGAACCAACTATTTCTTGAATTGTCCCATTTGTGCACTGGCTTAATTCATGTTTCCTCGGTTCACACCAGATCTTGTCATTTGGCATTTGGGTTGCTAAGGGAAGCTTCGCCTTGGAGATGAGGATTTCTTTACGTCCCTGGGCTGCAATGGCCCAGTTGCCATGGAACGCCATGGACCCTTCCGGATCTTCCGGTCTCACAGGCGTTTGAACAGCACGGCCGTCCTCCCCATGGGAAGGGCTCGCAAGAGCAAAGACAAGGCCACGGATGCCACGGCCCCACGGGCTGGTGCACTATGTTGCGCTGCCAAGAGCAGGGAGAGGGGACAGTGACGCGTGTATGACTGTATTGGGCCCTTTTTGTTGGTCATTTCCAAGAAAAAAGCAAAAGAAAAGGCGATTCATTTCAATTCACATCATGCATCACCCGTTTTGTCGGCTCGAGTCCTTCCAATGCACATGTTCAGTCAATCAGTTTCACTCCGCCAGCTTCACGCAGGTTCCCCCCCCCAAAAAAAAAGCCAACAAAAGTTCCTCCTTCCATTCACAAAAAGAGGTACATACATACCACATAAAAAAGGCATATACCGTTATACACAACAAATTCCAATCTTCATCAAACTTCCAAATCAGAAGAGAGCGAAGCTGCCAGCTTTCCTCCCTCAGATCTCCCCAGTTACCCACACCCTCCGCCATGTTCGCCCCTCGCAGCCTGCGCCGCAGCACCAGCGCGCCGGGCCGCTCCCCTTCGCCGTCGCCCGAGCGCCCGGAACGGTCGGATGGCCTGGGCCGCTCCAGCCCGGGACGACGGCGGAAGGACACCGAGGCGAAATCGACCGTGCCCCAGGACCGCTACGGGAACGGTGGCTGGGATGTCTCCATGGGGGGATTTGGATGTTGAAACACCAAACTTGGGAAAAAAAGTTGGGGTTGGACCCTCAGACATGGGAAGTATGAAAGATTTAAGTATCGAACGTGGGAATAGGTTGAGATTTGACCATCACACATGGAGAAAAAGAGGTGGATTGAGTTGATTTTACCATCGAAAATCGGGTTGAAGCATGTTTAATCCACTAATTGTGGAGATGTGAGACGATATTCATTTGGATGGATCAAAATGAGGAATTACACATATTACACAAAGAGGTGACAATATGTGACAATATTAAAATCAATGAAATTGAATGAATGAACATGATGATAAGCCATGGGTCTAGTCTTGCGGTTCAAAAGTTTGAGGCAAGCAAATTTGATTAGAGATGGGTGAACACCTTCGAGGGACCATGGAAATGAGGCGATGAACATCAACAAGTGACTTTTTCTTGTTCGAACACCATGTCTTGACCCATTGCCGTTTATGGGGGTCAGACGGCAAGACATCCCCTTTGGGGGTGGTTTGTTTACCATTTGAAAGGGTGATGTGTATGAAGCACAATGGAAAAAAGGAACTGTGGACAACTCTCTGGTACATCATTTTCTGTTAAACATAATGATCCTTTTAATACTAATATCATGTCGCATCATGTCAATATCATGCCCGTCAACACCCCCCAGTGCAACCCATGTCTACATAGTGGTCAATGGCAGACTTTGGTGTTCTGCAGTCTCACCAAAGCCCCAGCACATTTCAATGGGTTCCAGTTCATTGCAGAAAGGATTCAACGGATAAATCAAGGGACAAATCTGGCCTTTGAGAAGTTGCTGCATTTTCCTGGCCACAGGGACTCCAGGGACATTTAGTGTGATACGCTGTTTGAATTGCCTCAGGAGACCCAGATCCGTGGCTGTGCCACTGCTGATGGCAAGTTGGATTCCGGCGACTCTGGGATCGAGAACTCAGAACCAGGGGCCCTGCGCAAGACGTTGTCCTGCTCGGCCAAAGGCATCCTGACCAAAGGCTCGAGTGCCCCAGGCACCGGGCTCCGGGATGTTTCCCCCACACCAGGACCCATGCCCAGTCTCCATGCAGCCTTGGGCCATGCTGCTTCCAGAACGTTGCTACGGGAGAGCTCGGGGCCCTTGCCCTACGCCTGCATGTCGGTGCCAACAGCGCCAGTCACTGTACCGTTGGCCACGCTCTCCCCACCGGTGCCATACCGCGGACGACCTGCTTCACCACCTGTGCCGGCCATGAACGCTGCTAGGAGGGTCTTTTACCCAAGGGTGCAGCCACCTGCAAACTGGGTCCATCAAGTGAAGGCCCTGAAGTTTGCACAACACCCGCATCCTCCCCCACCGCAACAGGCGGTGTGTTCCAGACGTACTGTGGTGTGGCAGCCAGGGCCGGGGGGACCCACGCTGCTGCAATCGAAGCCGGTGGCTGGGCGTTCATTCTGGCAGCAAGCTTTTCCTCGACAATTATGTGGTGCTATGGCAAGTTGGCCGCCACTTTGTAGGATGAGTGGCTCAGGCAATAGATGCTTACCATGCTTACCTAGATTGCCTATATATCATCATTTGCATTCCTCAGGTAACATCCCTGAGTTTGTCACAACACGCACCGACACGCACACGCACACACACACAGAGACTCACACTTATGAATTATATATACCTACATGATCCGACATGTATACATACACGCGCCCATATGACGCATACACATTCCATAAATCCCAGCATTTTTGGAGCATCCAGGTGGCCATGCCGGCCTTGCGCGTCTTGCACTGTAAAGTGCTGCCGCCGAAGAATGGCACCGTCGATGGGAGTGCGTCAGTCCCCACGGAACTGGAACAAGAGAAGGAGCCGGAGCCGGAGAAGGATCCGGCAGAAGTGCAGGCGCTGGAGCATTTGAGGAGATTTGATGGCTATTTGAGCCAGCTATGACTACGGTTTTGAACCATAGTCATATGGGAATATATGGGATACAATATGGGATATATAAGCCAAGGCACATTTGGGTGTCAGATATTTAATGGGCCCCCCATTTATGGCAATGGAGAAAGTGATGAGAAGCCTTGAGGGTAGCCTATTTTCAGGCAAGCCCCTTTTAACTTCCCCAAGATGGCACTGCAAAAAGTTTCTGGAGTATCTTGATTTTTGTTACGAAGCGAGTGTTCATTTCGCTGTTTGGATGGCAGCAAGTTGCAAATTGACTGGGTTGTGGTGAAAGTGGTCCTGAAAGGCAAGTTGGGGAGTTTGAAGGTCTTATTTGTACAATGTTTGAATCTTGATATGTTTTTTCCTTAGATTTCCCCATATGATCCCATATGTTTCTATATTTTTTCGATGTTTCCCAGAATTGGGATGTTGAAGCTGTGACACAGGCAGAGGAAGAGATGGCTAAAGAACTGGCGAGACTCGAAAGGGAAGAAAAAGCTCGATGTGAAGTCTGTGAGGCGGTCGTTGGCTCCTCAGATTTAGGACTTGGGATAGTCATAAGTAAAGCGTCATCAAATTACTACAGGATGGGGCCCCCAATAAAATTAATGCCTTGTAAGAGGCTTAACTATGGTTTATGGTAGATATAACATGATATAACCATAGTATACTATAGTTATTATTGGATGTTAATGCGGTTTAGAATGGTTTGTAGGCCAACTTATAACTATGGCGCCCCATCCTGTAGGGATTTCCCATCTATTTGAGGATTAATATATACATATACATTATATATATATTATAGATATAGAGAGAAAGGGTTGGAGTTTAAAAGTTTCATGCACTTCGGCATGCCATGCTCTGATACCCAATTTGACCAGACATGTTTCTGCACTCTTCAGAGGGGTTTGAAAACGCCAAACCTCCTACCTGGATCATCCCCACGGCTCGGAACTGGGACCCAGGGACCCTGGTCATCGTAAGTCAAAAGTCGTTGATCTGATATTTTGCAATGGCTTGTGCCAGTCATAAATATGGCTAATAAGCAATAACAATCAATAACAACCATTAAAGACAATTAAGAACCATTAATGATTCATGACTATAACCATCAATAACCATCAATAACCAGGGTTACGATCCCTGAATCCTCCCAGGTCGAAGCCACCCAGCTGGACGTGTCCGTTGCGGACGTCGTGGCGCTTCGTCTCTGCCGCACCAAGCTGCTGGACGCGCTGAGCGCGGCGCAGCAGGCGGAGCTGCCGCGGGTGGAGCGACAGCTGGCGGAGCAGCAAAGGAGGCGGCTACACAATGCCTTGCAGGTGGGATGGGGATGTTTCCCGTTTTAATATCAATCTATATAAATCTCATATCTTATACATACATGTGCGTATATATATATACACACATCACAGAGAGAGAGATATACACATATAGATACTAGATATAGATATATAGTTAGTGTAGAGTTATGCATACCTTGTTGGGGACGGGGGGCTGCTGGGGATGGTGCTTAGGAGTATATTCATTTTTTTGGGGGGGGCAATGGGGTTGAACAGTAAAACATGGTTCAACATCATTTGGAATGGCAGCTTACTTACTAAGTACTTTTTTCGGTACAAAGAAGATGTCTTCATAAAGGGCTGAATGGTAGGGTTCCTTCCGTGTTTGGAGCTGTTTGATGCTCTTCCAAGTCTTCCAAGTGCCTTGGAAGCGCCAGGACATGAAAGGTCAACTTCGAGTGTCTTGCCGCATTCGGCCTTTGAGTGCCAAGGAGAAAGCACAGCACCCTGGCAGATCAGTGCACGGGCAACGCTCACAACCAAAATGGAGGAGGACAATTTGTCATTTGTTGTGTAAATTTGTCATTATGTCATAGAATTTGTCATCCAATTTGTCATTTAGTGTGGTCCCATTCCTTGGGGTTTCCGACGTCTTGGTTTTTACATGTTTTTACCAGCTTTCACACCGCGCAGAGGCAGAGTGACCATGCGGTTTATGCTATTGACAGCTCGCATGTGGGCATCGTGCTGCCGGAGCTGCCACCACGTGTCTTCGAATTCGACAGCGTTTTTCGCCCAGATTGTCCTCAGCTGCTTGGACCGCTTGGAGTCCGCTTGGACTCAGAGCGCTGGAAGGTTTTGACGGTTTTGGCTTCCCCCTAAGGCACCCCCCATCAACATCCATCAACCCCCCACCATTGAGGATTTAGCAACGGAAAACAACACAGCACTGGAACAACGCCATGGCTGCCATGGCTCAACTTGAGTCCCGAGGCAAGTGATGGAGGAGATTTTTGATGATTGCCGAGACCTTGTGCAGTCTGCAGTGGATGGACACAACGTCACCGTGATGACCTATGGGCAGACAGGCTGGATCTGGGCGTGGGATGCTGAAGCAAGGCCTTGCGCAGTTTTTCCTGACATGTTGCGGATTCTGAAATAGACAACCGCCGTATGTATAAAATGTACTGTTGTGTGTATGTGTACAGATCATTTATATATATTTATATGTATACAGCATTGAACACCGCTACTATAGGATCTCGCAGTGTTCAAGATATGGATTCTTTTGCCAGGGGCTGGAAAGACCTACACGCTCTTTGGGAACAAGAGTCAGGAAGGATTGGCGCAGTATATGAAACTTCGCTCCAAGGGGTAGATCACAGCTTCAGCACCCAGAGCCAGGTGTGGGTTCTGGGATGATGAAAACAATTTTAGCTCTTTTGCCCAGAAGTAGTTTACTCTTGCTCCATCCCAGCTATTCATGGAAGCCCCAGGGGTGATCCCCGACCCAATTGGAGGTTGACTAGCTCCGACATAACTTCTTATGGCCTGCATATTCCTGCTTAGAGTTGTACCAGGTCCATTCCCGTGAGCAGTCGCATGGATCCATCACAAAGTGCCCAGCATCCAAGCTTAAGATCCCCTGAAAGGCCTAAGGACCTTTGCTTTCAGCTTCCCCTTATATACTCCTGTGTTGTTCAAATCCAACATTTTTTGTCGCTTTTACATGGTTTTACCCAGCTTCTGGAGCAGATCAGGGTGCCCTGGAACCAGTTTTTGTTGCTTGAACTTTTTCATCTCCATAAATCTGCTGAGGATCCGGGAGGTCTTTGCACGCTTGGGTGACCAAGAAAGCGAGCTCAGTGAACATCCCAAGGTCACGGTCTGCGGATCAGCGCTAGCACCTTGGAGCGAAGATGGCCAGTTCCAGGAACACCACTTTTTTTGCAGAGACGAGATGAAATTTGGGATTCCATCTACCACATCCTCAAAATGGGATCAACTTTTGGAGGAGTGAGGGCCGTACATATCAATCCAAAGTGGCCGAATCCAAGATTTTTTCACCAGAGGTTTTGGCATTGTTCTCGGGACCCGAACTCGTGGCTCAACGTTCAGGGAAGGGCTTGTGGAATTCCAGCTGAGGAGCTCTACAACAATCACTTCATCGACCTTCTGCGTCCCATCGACCGCACCGGGCGGCAGAGCCCTGGTGTGAAGGTCACGGAAGGGATTGGCGTTGCTTCATTGGTTTCATCGTCCTTCGATGTTTTGAGTAACTGGAATATCTGGAATCATTTAGATCTGCCAGTGGCTGCCAGTGTTTCAAAATCCGCCCGCTATAGAAACATCCGTGGCCAAACCTGGTGAGGTTTTCCATACATACCTCGCCCAAGTGGTTTAAGGCATTTTCGGAGTAAACCACTGTAAAATTTGATGGCCGTGAGATACGGCGATGGTTTTCTCCGAAATCAGCCACAAAAGATCCATCCAACTGGTTGCCTTTTGGATTGCCTTATACCGTAGCCCAGAGTGCATAGAGATCATCACCCATGATCCATAGATGCCATATGCCATGGCCCCCCCAAAGCACCCACCACCATCCGCAAATCCATCAGTGTCTGAAAATGGGGCATACCCATGCATACTGACGCGTACCCATGCATACCCACAAATATCAATTTTAATAGGGAAAACGGTGATAAGCCAGCAAGTTTGGGAGTGCCCTATTTTCAGACCCAAATTTCCCGCAAAAATCCAATGATCCACTTGAAACAAAGCTACCATACAGATCAACGGAACCCTGAATATGTATATCATACTGTATATCTGTATATATATATATTTGTTTATAGGTATATATAGTTATAGTCTCTAAACATTCATCAAGAACCCCTTAAAAAGTCCAATGATTAATCCGTGATGATCCCTACGAAGTCATTAAGACATCCTTCAACAAGTCCAATGATTCTCTTTAGATGGAAATAGGCTGAAATAGGTCTAACTTACTGCAAGGTGCGGCCCCCCAATTATAAGTTGATTTCTAACCCACATTAAGTAGCAAGTCACCGGATTATTTATGCAGTTTGGGGGGAGCCAGTTGGAGCGGTATCCGTATTCCCGAAATGGGAAGCCAATTGGAGCTACAACTTGAGTTTCCCAACATGTTAGAATCGGTAATTATATTATACTAGATGAGATTGGTAATTACAATAGAATAGCAATTCACATATTTCACTCTCCGCATGCTTTTCAGATGGCTACTGAATGGGTGGCCTGCATGCTCGCCACTGCCGCCGGCAGTCTTGACAGATGGCGATGGAGAGAGAGAGAGAGAGAGTAAAATTTACATCTGTTAGTTTTAGCCACATGGTCAAAAATCAAGATCATAATCATAGTTTGATTCAAATTAGTTCAAATCATAATTATCATGATAATCTATTAATAAAAAACTAATCACCAATAGGCTAAGAGTAATGATAATCATATCAACTATATAATTTATTATATAGCTATAGGAGTTGCCACAATTATAGAAAGGAATTAGGAGTACAAAAGTACGGTAGAATACCGCACTTTCGTACTCCTCCGGATCCCGATTCCGCGCGGATTCGGATCCTGTTCTATAATTAATTTGTGCTCCTCAAATTCCCATTGAAACCACCGGCAACACGCAGATTGTGTGAGTCTTGGAGGCTACTTAAATTTATATTAATCATTTTATGTATCTTTCGAATGTACATAGAAACCAAAATTATAGAACGGAATTATTGCGAATTTAATTTTAGAACACGCAATTATAGAACAGAGTTGGTAAATGTGAGAAATGCGGGGGAAAACACAATTATGGAACACACACAAGAATTATAGAACGACAAAAAAGTTAGGAGTAAGTTGAGAGTAAGTATTTTTCCCAACGTTCTGAGGAAACAGGAATTATGGAACAACAGGGTACGGTAAACAACCGTACTTTCGTACTCTCAACTTCCGTTCTATAATTGTGGCAACTCCCATAATATCATACGAGTTCTTCTCCACTAGTACTTCATATTTCATTAACTATATTAATATATATATATATTTGCTATCATAATCATATTGCTATTAATGACAATCTAATAACCACAGTATAATATTATAACCATAGTATACTAAATCAATACAGTGATATTAATCATTAATAGTGACCGACTATTAACCCCCAACCAAAACCATCAACAACTCCCCTAAACAGTTCGAAATTGGATTATAACCCCCTGTTCCTATACATATACATATGACATATATTATAATTATATATATATACATAGCTATACAGTTATACCCCCCAATCAATATACATTAAATCCATTATTCACTATAGTTATACCCCCCCCATACCCTTTGGTAAACTAACATAGCTATTGAAAACGGCCATTGATAGTTGATTTACCCATTGAACATGGTGATTTTCCAGTTCTCAAACTGTAAACGTTTACCAGAGGATATGATATTTCAACTGTATCCCCGCTTTTGGCTGTTAAATCACCATTAACATCCATTACCATCCATTAACATATATTAACATCCATTAACATATATTAACATCCATTACCATCCATTAACATATATTAACATATATTAACATATATTAACATATATTAACATATATTAACATATATTAACATATATTAACATATATTAACATATATTAACATATATTAACATATATTAACATCCATTGTGTCGATGATTTTCCCACGGTTAAACCATCCACCAAAACGCTGGATCCATCGCCACCGCCAGGTCTGCGTGGACTCGGAGGGCTGCGTGCAGGTGGACGGCCTCGCCCAGCTGGTTGCGGCGGAGCCGCAGGAGCTGCTGCAGATCTTGCGCCGGGGCCTGGCGCAGCCACCGGGGCCTGCAGATCTGGCGATTTTTGGGAGAAAATAGATGAAAAAAGGGAGATTTGTGGAAAATTGATGGGACATCTATGGACAGTTTATGAGAAATTTATGGAACATTCATGGAAAATTGATGAATTTCATGGGAGACTCATGGGAAACGGGAGAAATTTCAGGGGACTATGGGAAATCTATGGGATATAACTGATAGATGATGATTGGCCATATGCTATCGGGATGATCGTAAGCAATTTATGGGACATTTATGGAATAATAATGGGAGATACAACCAACTTACTATGGTTGGGGGGGTTTCTTAAAATGTTTTTTTTTTTTTAAATAAACCATGGGACTCGGCTGACCTTTGTTGCCTCATGCCATGCTTTTTTTGGAACAACTTGGGTTTGTCCAAAAAATTGGACCACCACAAATCCCATGGGAAAAACATTTTCATTTTTTCATGGCAATTTTGAGGCATAACCCGTACTTGGGCATCCATTTACTGTATTGTTTGTCTTTTTCACATTGAGATTGGATTCACACGCAAAGTATGTTGCACTTTGCGGACCGTACAGGGATTCCCATTTGGTCTTGGGGCCATCAAGGGGTCAATTTCTCTGTTGGGACTTCAGGGAGGGGAGGAGATGGGATGGAGACGACCATTCCCTTTAGAGGGGATCACCTAACGTACCTTACATATTACAACTACTTTCACCACTATATCAGTCAGTCTTAGGACGTTTATAAATAGCTTGACCAAACCTCTTTTGAAAGCTGCTTTCCGGTGGTTAGAGTCCCTTTGATGCTTCGAGGCGAGTAGTGGCAGAGCATGCCATGAACGCAGACAGTTCGCGCTCCCACATGGTCTTCACCGTGCGACTGACGGTGGAAGGTGGTGCGGCGCGAAAGCTCACCTTCTGTGACCTAGGTGGCTGTGAAAGGCGGGCGTCATGGACGTGGACCCGTGGATTGTGAGGATTGGACAATTCGCATCTGCCATTGAACCCCAAAACCACTAGCCCATTGCATAGTTTTCGTCCAATTTCCCCGGGCCTCAAGTTTGTAGTGTTGTCTTATTACACATTGGATGTGGATGATGTGGAGCCACTCATGGGATCCCTTGGGGTATCAGACGCCCATGGTTCCTTTCCTGGCTGAAAGGCTGAAGCGAACGCAAGTGGTGGGAGATTTGCAGAAGGAAGCCATTGCAACTTGGCGATGTCATGGAATTGAATTTTACCCGATGAATTGACTTGAAAAGTATGTTCCACGTTCACAGTGGGCTGTGATTCGATATATATATATATATTGAATTGATTTAATTAATATACGTATGTTAAAAGGATATTTCGGCAAAGGTTCACGCTTGCATGTTTCCATATGTTTCTGCCATGTGACATGTTCATAGAGCGATATTCTATGTGTTTGGGGGCCCCAGCTTTGCCACTGCCAATCAGGAAATCAACAAGTCGCTCAGTGCATTGAGCAGTGTGATTGAGGTGAGTTCTTTGTGGCAATGGGGATGGGAAAGGTGTGTTGCGTTGGTTGCAAGGCCACAAGTCTACACATCTATAAGATCTATAAGTAGTTGCAAGTACATGGTACATTGATTTCAAGTTAAAGACTATTGGTATGTACTACAGCGGCTATAGTGGCTATAGTGTGTGTATATACATTTGATGATTCACGTCACGTTTGCATATGGCATTATGGGTATACACCGGTATGCACGCGGCGTTAGTCTCGAACTCGGATGAGTCCGGACCCCAGTCAAACACTGTTCCAGGCCGTTGCAGGTCGACGGCGGCATGTGCCCTACCGCGATCACAAACTCACCAGTTTGCTGCGCGATGCCGTGGGTGGAACCGCCAAAGTACTCATGTTGCTGGGACCTTTTTTGGATTCCTTGCGAGTTTTTTTGGTGTCACAATTTGGGGGGGGTTTTGACATGTTTTGAACGACTTTGTAGTTATCAACTGATAGTTACAAATCCATGCAAATCCGGGGGGTTGACGAAGGGGGTGATGAGTGAACAAACAATGATCGTGTCTAGAGTCTACACCAGAGAAAGTCGAAGGCAATCGAAGGCATCATGTCCATTGAGGCCAAGTCGGAAGTCATGGGATCTCTTTTACCCTTGGAGAGTTTCGCAGCACCTTTTCCCTTCGTGAAGTGGCTCAAGTTGGGGGTGAACCTCTGCCCCCATGAAGAATTGCCCTTCGAGAAGATATGGTGACGATTCATCTTGGGCCCCAAATCTGCGGGTGGCTTTTGTGTGTTTTTATCGTGGGGAGTTGAATGGGCTCTGCCAAGGTATGTTTGTTGTTCACCCGCAGCCAGCAATTTGGAAGAGACTGCCGCTGCTTTGAAGCTAGCCTCGCGAGCAGCCAAGGCTGGGCCAGCCTGGGCCAGCCTGGGCCAGCCTGGGCCATGGGGGGAATGGATAATTCGAGAGGACCTCATAGGACCTCCACCATCCTCCAGTGAAGTCTTTCTCCCATCGCTCCCATCGCCAGCGGCAGGTGGTGAACCAACGCTCTGAGGCCAACGAGCCGGCGCCCGAGGAGTGAAGGTCGACCGACCTCGACTCGTGACTCGAGCTGACGCTGAGGACCTGGGGATGTCAGAGAGCAAACAGGGTGAAACTTAGGACCCCTGACCCCTGTCATCGAAATAGGAACAACTTGACTTTTCGATCTTGTTAGGGACCTCTGCACGTACATGCCAAAGACAAGAGAAACACACATCCACAGGTTTGCAGCATTTGCAGGGCAAAAAGGCCACTGCACAACTTTTGGCAATGCTAATTGCGAAATGCTAAAGGCATGCCGTGTGCTTCACTGCCACCGAATTCAGGCAATGTCTTCGGCTAACACGCCAGGAGCAGCGACCTAGGTGGCATATCATATATAGTTTTTTCCATAATTCGTAATTGAGAACGATGAGCGAATGACTCCCACTTGTCCTACACAGGTTGGAAAAACCTCCCATACTTTCGCCAGCGAGATCATGCAGTCCGCAGAGCCTCCCATCGAGGGTCAAGAATGGGCACCCCAAAAATGTCAACTCTCTGAGTTTTGGGTCCTAAAAATCTGACCGTAGACGAAACAAGGGCATGTTGGGCAATTTCTTCCTGTGGGTCTTGCCCAAGCTGTTTGGGAAGATTTTTCCAATTTTTCACGGAGTACTGCGGAGGAGCTGGAGCTAGGGGATTCGACTTATGCTTGGCTTCAGGGTAAGTCACCGTGTCAGAAAGAAGACCCTTGGGAGGCACCGTCCATTTGCAAAATAAAGCTGGACCCCAGATGCTAAGCGGAGATATGTCATACACTTGAAGAGAGCCGAGGGTATTTAGCTCATTTTAGCCTTGGCCAGTACCTTCTACCCCCTTAACACAGAAGCACGGTACCGAAGACAAGCACCTGGCTGCGAATGGATTTAAGATGATTTGAGATATGCTACGTTTTAAGCCAAAAGACCCTGCGAGAAGCATTCCTTGAGCCCCACATGGAACCTTCGCCAGGAAGCTGACAAAAGTCAGATGCCGGAAGACTTTGATCCCTTCTACCATCATCTTCGGCATGTGAGGCCCATCCCAGTGGAAAGTGCCTTCTGAAACTGGGAAGCCGTGCTCCAGCCAGCTTTCAACAAGATCAACAAGATTCTGTATTCATTCCTGGTTCAAAAACCACAAAAAATATCAAGAACCAATCGAAACATGACAGGTTCTCTGCAGCATACTGCGGTTCTCAAGACCCTTGGGTCCATTGGATCCTGGTTTTTAGGCGTGAAGAGCTTTCTCCACGGCGAGCAGCCAAGAGGGACGAACTCACCAACAGAGGCGGCGCGCGCATAACTCCTCATCACCATTATGGGGTCAAAAATGGTCAACACCTATTATTACATTATTACATCATATTACTACTACCATATTTGGTAATAAACATCCACAAACCATCACAAACCAATTATTTTAGGCTTCCCAGGGTTATGAAGGCTTTTGAGATACAGCTATATATATATATAGATATCAGTAGCAGATTATGTTAGCTACGTATGAACATTCAGTGAGTCAACTCGTGTCCAACTTCATAGCCGTCATAGCCTCCAAGGCATCCAAGGCATCCAAGGCCTCCAAGGCTTCAGGTCCCAGCGGTCCCAGCGTTTCAGGTAACTTCAGTCCTGGCTTCATTGCCGACTTGGCTGTGAAGCCTCGGGTGGACTCCCAGCCGTTGTTGGCCTGCATGGAGCAGGTGGGGCACCGCAACGGTGCTGATCTCAAAATGGAAAGCCTGGAAATCAGTGGAAATTCAGTGGAAATCCATGGAAATCCATGGAAATCAGTGGAAATTCAGTGGAAATTCAGTGGAAATCCATGGAAATGCCAGTTCTGACTTCAGCAGCACTGTGTGCTGTAGAACCCACTTTCATCTTCAGATCTTGTAACATGGTTTTGGTGATGGCGACGCGGTGAAACATTATGAAACATTGCAACTCCTCAACCGAAGCTGCCGTGGTGACCGACCAGGGCGATTTCATGTCGATTGTGGAGCAGAAAGTGGATGCTGACTCTGAGCACCAAATCCTTTCAAGGTGGGAAAAACGTTTCTCAACGCTTTGGCCTTGGGCTACCTAAGATGGAAGATGGTCAGCTGGGAAGCGTTGCTTGATTATTTCTACACCATATGCTCGCACATGTTCAGAAAATGAAAATATAATATCATATTAGCATATCTATTTATAACTTATAACTTATTATTTCTTAAACATGCATGTGAATAGACAAGGTATCATAAGCGGTAAGTAGTTTGCGAAGGAGACACGCCGCATTCTGCAGTCAGTTCTGACTTGTGTGCAATCTTGAAATGCAAGCGTATACATCTAAACAATGGTTTCTTGATACTTGCAGGGTGCCCCCAAAAACGCAAACATATGATACACGAATAGAAACGGCGACCCAAAGTTATGATCAACCGATTTTTTGGAATCGGAGTTCTACTTCTTAACAGTTCTTAGCTGGACGATGCCAGGCGCTTGCGGGTGCTTCGTGCGAAGGAAGCACGGGGAGATCCTGCCCCTGCAGAGGAGGGCATGGGCCTGGCGAGCTTCAAATTTTGCAAGTTGAAGTTTTGGCTTTTCCTTTGGGTTTTCACCATTTCCGTAACATTTCCAATGAAGTTTGGGGGTATGCAACAATGGTTGGAGTCGGTTAGAGAACGAGAATCCATTTTCGAAAAACGACTTTCTTTTTTCCTGGCAGTGTGAACGTTTTATGGGACTATTTGGGGGGCCCGAGTCCTCCCCAATTTTTTTTTGGCCTGGATGACCCAGTGGAGTGCATCCCCATTGGCTAATGGCCTACCATTTCACAAATCAAAAGTTGCTTGGAAATCCACGCACTTAAGGAAAACCATGGATGACCCCTATGAATGGTGGATTTTCTAATGCCGTGTTTGATTGCCGGATAGCAAGTGAGGTGAGCCTCCAAAGAAACTGACGCCTGGTGCCTTGCTTCAGGAGGCAGGACCTTCCAAAGGGGCCAAGCGGAGCAAGTTCAAAGCAGGACAGGTGGTGTCGTTGGAGAGAGTCTTTGACGCCGGGGTGTGCTCCCGAATTGGTTGGATTGCTTTTAAAAAGAACAGTGGGCTCAAATCCATGGTTTCTTGATGATTCCCGCAAATGTTCCCTTCAGTCTATAGGCCCTTCATATCCCTTCATTTCGATTTCCCGTCCGTTCCAATTTGGGGAAATCCACATGACTGATACATGCTTAAGAGAGATCCCCTGCATCCCACTGCACGCTTCAGACCTGTTCTCTTCGATGCACAACTCATTTTTTGAGAAAATCGGTCCAAGGTTAAGGTCCTCAACTAGGTATGGAAATCTTCCATTTCAGCCCAGCTGTGAACCACCTAAACCCTTAGACAACCAAAAGACTAAATTGGAGACTTCTCTTTTCCTCCTGATTTTGTTTCCGTGCACTTCTTCACGAACTTCCTTGCTTTCTTTTTTTTCACGGGAAACTCGGCCCTGGGGCCCCGGGGTGGGGCCCTGTCGCCCCTGTAGGAGCCGCCGCGCCTGTGAAGTTCGCTTCCAGCACAGGGAAGGGTAGCAAGATGCAGCGGATGATGGAGCTGTTGGATCCAGGACGAATGGGACGTTCAGCGGAGCCGGGTGTGAGAACTGACAAGAATGAATCTCACATCATAAAACATCCGACTTGGAGCACGCAACTTGGAATTTCAGTGATAGTGAAGTGACAGAAATTTTCGGACTGACCCAGCAAGAACGGACATTTCCAGCAGCTGGGATGGAAGGGACAAGAATCCAAGAAGTCTTCCCTCCAGGAACCAACGTGAGGATTTTGCCGGCAAACATGGAGACAAACCCAGCAATAGAAGGATGTAGAATCTTTAGGGAATATAGCTGAATTGATCTGGATTGTAGTTGTGGATGGCAGTGGATCAATGGGAATTTCAGGAACCTAAATTGGAGGTACCTACCATATATAAGGCCTATATAAGGCCTATGTAAGAGAATATCCCCACAAAATATGGCCTTATAATGGTACAGTACCTCCATTTTAGGATCCTGAAATTCCCATTGAGTGGATGGTTTTTGCATGTTTTTGCCAACTTCAACTCGGAGCCAATTAATTCCGAGGCCCAGTGGCAAACGCTGTCGAGTCTTGAATGCCAGGAAGACGTGCGGGGTATGTGCTGGCAGATGCCCTGGTGCCGCTCATGCAACTTGGCCAGTGATGCGGCCCCACTTGTCACGCAAACTTACAACGTACCCTCTAGCAGTCAAACATGGCAATGGGAAATCCTCAAGTGGAATATATCATTGGAAAAGAATATAATCCAAATCTGAGATAAATACATGCATAAACAATTGAGCATTATCGGAAAAAACATGGAAACACATAGATCATTAAATATTAAGATAAATGAACACGCACAGAAATTCCAGTGGATGCAGGTGCAGGATGTTCCATGCCGTTGGTGCAGCGGTCCTGCTGCCCAGGTTCTGGTTGGGCCTCACGAAAAGTCGCATGGCTGCCCTGGAGACCCTGAGGCTCGCGCTGGGCTGGTCATCTTCCCCTAATCACATAGGATGCAATGTTTTTTTCTTCTTTTAAATAATGTATATATATATATATAATTATATATACATGGTCAGCGGCCCTGGAGGGTTTTACTGCATTATATTTGCATATATATATATATGTATATATATATATGTGTGTGTGTATATATATATATACACATACAGTATATGTATCTTTACCAATATATATATATATATACGTATAATATGTATATATAAAACTACACAAGTATCAGTCTATAACATATCTGCGCCCTAGAGGAAGGGTTTGAGGAGATCGCCCAGACTCTCTGGTTGCTACAGGATGGGCTTTGGCTCCTTGCAGATCGACACTGGCGCGCTGCTGGTGATGGGCGAACATGTGGAGGTTCAGATGCGGCTGGTGGAAGGGTGTCTTGGTGGCCAGGGGAGCCCGGATGGGGTTCAGAAACAACATTTCTTTATCATTTGGTTCATCAAAAAGGGTACCATCTCTGTTAGGCAGTTGTCACTTCTTGGAGTTTGTTCTTTGTAATGAAGCAGGTTTCCAACCTGGAGTTGTCGGAGGAGAGGGGCTGTGAAGATGCTGATTGATAAGTTGCCTTGGAGCCAAGGTTGCGCCATCTGATTCGCCGAGATTCCTTGGAGCAACTCTGCGAGTATGTCACAGGTCGGGACTCCGTCAGGGACTCTTCGTCACAAAGTGTGCCACCTCAACCTGCCGGCTTTCACTCACGGAAGAAACTTCCGTTTATAAATGTCACAGCGATGCAAAGTTTTGATTTTGATGGTTATTGATGCAAAATGATGCAAACATGGCTAATATTGGCTAATGCTTTCTCACCTTTTTTTCTTGGTTTCCTCGATACACTTTCCGAACGACACGAAGACACTCATATTTTTGTCCTCCTATGGGGAAGCTTCAGGGGAAGCTTCAGGGGAAGATCATCTCGATAGACCAGCAATTTTTCGTAATCTTTCTTGGTTCCAGCTGCTTCCACCTGCTTCCAGCGGGGTGGCATTTCCATTCCCAATGGACAGATCCTATCGGGGTTCCATTGGGCTCAGGGAACAGCTTCCAACGCCTGCGAGCCTGGTTCAACTCTATGCGTTCGGATCAATTCGGCTGCGTGGACATCACACAGGTTCCGGTGGCCCGGTGGTGGGCGGCAGAATCTGCCTCTTGTGAGCTTTGGATTCAGGGAATATGAGGAAAATATAGGGAGAGAAACACTCCCAGAGAAACACTCCCAAGACTTGCACTCATTATTTTGCTACGGGGAAACCAGGCTCGGCTAGTGCTATCCCAAGCAGTTTTGGGGCAACTTGGCAGGTCCAGAGCCTCTTCGCCCGGATGGAGGTGACCACAGATCGGCAGACGCTCTTCCGGCTATTGAGCCACTGGGCCTCAGAAAATCTCAACAGATCCTGGAGCTGGGAGCCATCAGAATTACATCAGATTGGACGGACCTCTATGCCACATTTTTGTGAACATGGTGGCGTTTGAACAGGTTTAACAGGTTCCACCTTGCGACCCATCTCATGCAGTTGGACATTCTGAATTGACCTGGGGGCCGTTATGGGCCGTTGACACATCCCTTGGTCCCCTCTTGAGGTTATATCATTGAGAATCCGCACCCCACAGCGGCGTGAAGCTCAGTGGCCTTTTTTGAGGTTTTTTTCCCTCCTCGCCAGGCAACTGGGAACACTG